CAACAGAAAAGAATTAAAAAAAATGCTGACAGAAGTACTAACTTTAAGTTGATGGTGTCCCTTTATCTTTGTTTTATAATCCCAATTCTGATTATGTTTTTTTAAGCACGAAGAGTTCAGCAAACACTTTTCTGCCTGTGCCTCTAGGTGTAACTTAACTTGTAAAATTCTTAAGTGTGCCATATTTCTTTGGGAAGCAATTCTTTAATATTAAACCATACAACTTGTTTGTAGCTTGGAGTGTAGAGGAAGATTATTTTTCATAGGGTCTTTTAAATGCCTAATTGTGTGGTGGTTTTGTTTCAGAAAGTCTACTTTGCAGCGTTCTTGAGTACTCTAGTTGCCATATTCAAATTTTAGCTCAGATTTGCACATGGCTGCTAGCTAGCATGTAGCATGGAATGAGAAATAGATTCTAATCTTTATGTTTCTCTGCTTGTGAAGCTGAAAATGTTAGGTTCTTAAGCTTTGGATGCCATCCTTTCAGAACTCATTTAGATCTGAAAGTTTTGTGCAGATTTACAACCAAGTAGCCTTATTTCTTTTTTGTTTTGCTTTTGAAATTTATCTTTTTAGTCTTCTATGTAACAAAGAAGAATGTGGAGGCTAAACAACTTACAATATGTAAAATGCATTGCACCTTTAATAGATAGACTGTTTAAAAAATAAAGTACTTGAAATTATCTGAGTGCATACTTCATGTCAAATTTATATGTGTACAGTGTAAATGTACATGCTAGGTAGCTCTGTAACTATCTTAACTAAATAAATTAACATGGACATCTTGTGCATGGACTTCTGATTAAGAGAAGTGCCTGTTCTGGTACATTCTATCTGTCATTTAAAATTTGCTTATAAAAAGAGTCATACTTTTCACAAAGTATGTTGAAGTTATTTTTATGTTCTTTGAACTTTGATAGCTAAATACTAATGCTTTTCTCATAGCAATACAAATATTTCTGCTTATCCAAGTCACCCATCCAGTCAGTGGGCTCTCTTCTGCCCTTTATTAACCAAATAATTAAGTGAAGTATGTTAGAACTTCTGAAAATACTGCAGCTGTGTAAATTCTCCCTCTTCAGATTACTCTTTCCATGCCTTCAGAGAGGTAACTTTCATAAACAAATATCCACAAATGACTGTACAGCATTTTAGAAATAATAGAAAGGTTTAGTCTTCCAACTGACTTTTCATTCCTATTGCTGCCATGTTTTTGTATTGCTCCCTCCGGCCCCAGCTTTTAAATTCTGCATTTATTGAAATCAGTGGAAATATAAGTAAAAGGAAGAATGAACTTTCTTCAATTAATTGCTGTTCCACACTGGACAACCTTCTTTACTCAGTTTTCAAATCACTACTAATCATTTGGTATAAAGAAACTTTTTTTTTTTAAATGACTGCTGACTAAAGAGTTGAAAACCGGGTTAGTTAGCTCTGTTTTTTTTTCCCAGAGGGAGAAGTCATTCATCACCTGGAGAATCTGAAGAGAGGAGCTAAGATGTTAGGCTGAGATGTGAACTGTGATAGACATGTTCATTGTCTGGACAATGGTTCTGAATAAGCAGAAACACAGTTTATACATACGTATTCATTCTACTGGACAAACACCCACAAAGCCATTGTACAACACAACAGCAAACCAGGAGCTTAAAATTTCCCCTGTATTTTGCTCTAGAACACAGATTTTACTTAGTTCACAGTTTTACTGTACCAAGTAATTGGTTTATTTCTGTTGATTTCATATACTAATACCTATCTCTTGATTTCACAAATTTTCAGCATATGGGAGACTTTGGAGGAATGCACAGACCTGGAATTGTTGTTGACTATCATAACAAACCCAGTCCTGCAGCAGTTGCTGCAAGAGGAATAAAAAGAAAAATGATACCACAGCCATATAACAAACCTGGTGGGACATTTATCAAGAAACCCAAAATGACAAAACCTATTTTGAAGCTGAGCCAGAAAAAATCGCCTAGTAAGTAACAAGTGCCAAAATTATTAACTTAAATTTACTAATTTTTTTTTAACTCTTTCAGAATTATTTAATTTTCATGTCCAGAAAGAAGGCTGTATGTGCTGCTTGTAATTCTGCATTTTCTACCTTTGAAGTACTCTACAACAGATTTTTATGAATTTACTCTTCTAGCTCTTCTACTGCAAAGATAATTTGTTGAATGAAATTTAATATTTTTATGTGTTTAAATATGTACTGCTGAAGACTTTCATTTAGACTTCATAATGATACTTCCTGGAGGCAAATTTTCACCACTGAAAGTAATTTCAGGTCTCACATTGCCCTAAGTGACAGTGCCTGACAAATACTGAAATGTGCCCTTGCATGAGCCTGGGCACTGCTGCCCAAATACTTTGACATATATAAGAAATAGTGTGTCAGCTGCAATGCAGCTGAAATAAAGGTGTAAGATGTGGATGAAGAGGAGAGGGAAAGGAGGCAAACTGAGGAAACAATGAAAATTGTTAGAGAATAACTCATGAAAGGCAGAGAGAGATTGCTTATTCTTGTAAATGAAATTCCACAATGAAGAGAAGAACTGGAAATGTAAATTGCAAAGTATTAGTGGTGCTTGGTTGGTTTAGCTTCCCTAAAGGTGTCCTACAACTCTAATAATTGTGATATTGCAGGCAAGTTGGTGGAAGAAATTCACTAATGAGGTTTGAATAAGCTACTTGCTTTGAGGGAATGTAAACTTGTGTATTAAATATTATGAATGGCACATACAGCCGTCAAATTTTAGTTTTTTGTGCTTGTAATTTCTTCAGTAATTTGGATCTGTGGTGTTTTATATAGTTTGGTTTCACATCACACCCAAAAAATGTTTCGAAAAATTACTTTAGCTCAAAGCTTGCAAGCTAAATGCCCAGACTTGGCAGAAACTTCCGCATGAAAATTTTATTTTTGATTTTGCAATTCTAGTTACACTACTGTGTATTACAAAACTGTTCCCTTAATTAACTTCAAGAGCAATGTAAAATTTCAGACACTGGGTGTATAGAACACATTCCTTTGCCTTTTGTATAGGGAACATTATTGCTGGACTTGCCAGCTTTGTTGTGATGAAATGGGTCTGTAAAATACACATCCAGGTATATCAAAGACTTGCATCTGAGAGGTCTCCCTCCTAGCTCTTCTTCTTTCAGTTTAGGAAAGGAGAACCTACGAAAGTACTATCTTTAGACACAGCGCTTCTAGTTTATTATCTGTTGCCCCTCACCGTTTTCCACAATCCAAGGACCACTGTACTACATAATATTGAAGTTACTTTAAGAAGTGGAGTAGATGGTGCCTACTAGAATGCACTTTTAGTCAGTCTGTCCTGTGGCTCCAAGATTGGGGGAAACAAACTGTTGGGTGGCCTAGCACAATTTTCTGAAATGTGGACTGAAAGATGCTCTAAGCAGTATCATGTAGTTAAAAACTAGAAAGTAGGTGACAGCTAACAGAAAATTGGGTGCAACTGGTATACAATATATGTATGAAAATATATCTTAAAATTTTATTGTCCTTTCTGTCTTGACTTTATTGTTTTGTGGAGCTAGGTATAGGTGATTGCTTCTAGAATATTTTGTTTATTTTATATTCCTAAGGATAACTGATTTTACATTTAGTATTATTACTAAAATATGATAAATTGTAGATGTCCTAGCTGCATAACAAGCTGAATTTTTTTCCTCAATATCTTAATTGCCTTAAAACAAATTGATGGTGGCAGCACTTTTGCATTATTTATTTCTTCCTTGTTTTATATTTATAGACATGAAGTCATCTTTCCAGGATTCTACTATAGAGGTAAAGATTTCCAGAACTGGAAAATATTTGTGATTCTTTCAGAAGTTTGTACAGTATACCTTAAGATAAATAGTTATTAAGCTAGAGTTATAAAAATTAAGCACTTAACTATAGAAGTTTTTTTTAAACTTAATTTTTTTTTCTTCACTTTAGCTAAAACTGTCTTATTTTGGTGGCCATCTGAAATCCTCACTGATCTCAAATGAAAGATACAGCTTGTGCAGATAGCCTGGAATACATTTTCAAGTGTAGACCCTACCTATTCTTATAATGCATAGAGAGCTGTCACATGAACACCTCTCATGTTGTCATAGGTAGTCAAGCTTGAACACCTCTCATGTTGTCATAGGTAGTCAAGCTTGAACACCTCTCATGTTGTCATAGGTAGTCAAGCTTGAATTCATACACCTATGACCTGCTTGGATGGGTTGAGAAATTAAGTACAAAATGGCAGGGAGATTACTAAAGAGCAAGGAGGAAGAATTGATAAGACATAAGACACATCAAGGAGAGAGAGGGTACCTAAAAAAGAAGCAGTGTTAACAGATGTCTGGTAGGGTACAAAGATGAGCTCCCCCTACAGAAAGATCAGTTGCAACAATGCGATTAGTAAGCTAAGCATATAGATACATATCCTGATTCCATGCTGAAAGATTGGAATGTTATTTTCCTTCTTTTTGAGTGGAGGTATTAACAAATTCTCAAGTAAGTATTTAAAAGTCTGGCTTGGAAGTCAGAATGTTTATGTTGAAGACAGTGAGAACTTTGATTGTGAAACTAATTCACAAAGACAACAAAGACTTCAAAGCATTAAGAAGTGCATAGGTTGAAGTATTTATACACTGGGTCTAACTAGATGCTCCATTTGTTTTCTTCTATTGTCATATTTGATAAAAATAGCAAGTAACACTTTATTGGAAATAAAATAAGTTGCACTGTCTTTTTCCAGATTTAGAATGTAATTGTGTTATTGATATTTTTTCCTTACAAAATTTATGGATTTGACTTTATTAGGAAATTGAAGTGGACACAAGTGGTGCAGTTGTTATATATGAAGACTTTACAAGAGATGCTTATGATCTTGGATATCAGACTTTTGGAGGTAAGTCGGTTTTCTTTGTCGGGTAAGGTATTGTAGGTATGGTATTGGTCTGATTTTGAGTGAATAGATTCAGTAAGCCTATATGTATGACCTCTAATAGTTATTCAGTAGCATGTTTTTTTTTTTTTTAAGAGATTATAAATTTAGGCCATGGCGAAGATGATTGTTTGTAACATCCATCTACCACTTGTTTTGTTCTCTACATGCTTATTGTCTCCCTGCTTTCTGATCATCTCTGTATGTTGTTGACTTGTTTTAATTTTTGTGAAATTAATGTAAATGGTCTTCTATACTTACTGCCATTCCATTGCTTAAATGTTGTTTATCCCACCAGTTCCTCACCCATATCCTATTATTTATCCCACTAGCTGATCAGCCTCACCCTTAAATCCTAGGTGAGTCACTTCTATAAAAGTGGATTTAGTTAAGTTGGAGGGCTGTTCTCAAGAACACGTGATCTTTTTCATGTGCGGTCTTAATGAAACAGGTTAATTATTAGGTGACATAAAATCAGTTAAAGTATATTTTAACCATAGTGATTTCAAACACATACAAAAAAATGCCAGTGTTAAGGCTGAAACTATTTTTAGTCCCCTTACCCTTGTGTGCTGCCTTATTGTGTATGTAGCCTAATGTGATGGTAAGGAATGCTGGAAATTTGCAGCCAATTGATTAGAGTTTCTTCTAAGTGTGTGGGTTTTTTATTTTTAAAAGTTTGCGTAAGTGTACTGAAGGAAAGTGGGAGTTCCAGTTTATATGTAGATTCTGGCTTCCATTCCCCAGCTTGTAGTAGGATGGGCACTTGAGTTTGTGAGCTTGAGGGGTAAGACATAGGCCATTTCACTCCACAGAATGTGATACTAGATGATGCTTTTACAGCAGTAAAACAAGTGACCCTTTGCACATTTCCAGGGTTGGCGGTAAGGCACTAAGTGAAGTTTAAATCCTGAGATAGGTAATGGGTATTGTGTCGGAGTGGGTGGGTGGTTTTCTGTTTTCAAATTGAATTTAAAAAAAAAAAAAAAATCTGTCTTCGGGATAGGAGTCTTTCTCCTTTCCATATCAGAGTAATTTGAAACACTTTGCTACAAAATGAAAAACTTTGGGGTAATCAGGAATGAAGTGTAAGCTCTTAGTGGAAATGTTTTCAGTACTCAGTGACACTTCTAGAGCCACAGAGCTTTTTGTAAGTTTTTTGTTTTGGTTTGTTTTTTTTTTCATTATGCTGCTGTACATTCTTTTGTGTTGCTGTTTAGATGGAAGCATCTAAAGAGGCTGACCTCTCTCCTAAGGTTGAACTGCACAGGAAAAGTGATCATCTTTTTCCTGCTCTAAAACTACTTGCTGAATAATATTCTAATCGTTTCCCTTTGTCCATAGGCTTTTTTTAAAGCAGACATAGAAAGGGCAAACTTAAGTACACTTACGCAAAAAGTCAGTGTCCTTAGAAGTCTTTAATGTTGCAAACCTGATTTCTAGTCATTTATTTGTTTGTGCTCTTACTTACATGCCAGGTGATAATTTAATGAAGTTCTTCTTTGAAGGTTTAGTTGGGGTTTTGTTGTGTGGTGGTGCTTTTTGTTTTGCTTTTTTGGGGGGGGTGTGGGGTGTGGTCCGTCTCCCCCCACCCCCCACTGGCTCCTCCTCCGTTCACTGATTTATTTCTTCAACTGCAAATCTTTGAACACTTTTCTGTGAAATCAAGCAAAGTTTAGTGGGGAAAAATAATAAAAGATGTTGACGTTCAGGTTGGGTACCATACTTTAATAAAACACTGCCTTGACTCCTTTATGAGAACTTTTGGTTTTGGAAACTGCTTTCTCAGCAGAAGAGAATGGCTTTAGATAATTTCTTTTTATGTAAGGGGGTTGTAGCAATGATGCTTTAAAACCATGGAGAGTTTTAAATAATGTGTTTCTCCCCATATACCCCTGGTACCCTTTCCTGGTCACTTGAAGACACCTTTAGTAACTAGGCACTACAGGGTAGGGTTTGCTTTAACTCTGAATTTCCTTAGTTTTGTGAGTGTAATCTAGAGTGTAACCCTACTAAGTTTGCATTGTTGGAAGCAAATGTTTAAATTGGTTGTCTTTAGAGGAGGAAAATGAAGTGCAGCTTCTATGGCATTTAAGTAAACCATTGAACCACTGTGGTATAAGGTCTTTCTCTGTATTTTTGAGGTGTTTGTGGAGGAGATGGGGAAGACAGGTAGTTTTATGGGGTGTGGAGGTTTTTTTGTATGGGTGGTGTTTTTTATTTTTTTTTTAATGTAACATTTTAAAATCCTTTTACTGTATGTTAAGATGGCAAAGGAGAAGTTAAAAGTGAGGAAGAAGAAAAGCGGCGAATTGAGGCCAGAAGAGAGAAGCAAAGGCGTAGAAGAGAAAAAAACAGTGAAAAATATGGTGATGGATACAGGTTGGTGCTACAGCTTCTGTCTTGTGTGCAGTGTTTTTCTTCCTCTTTATCCTTCTATAAGAATATGTCTTCTTTCCTGAAAGCCCCTTCGGACTGATCTCGGGAAAATAAAATGCAAAGAAGAAACGAGCAAATAAACCCACCCCCAAAATATAAACCAAAAAACTAACCCAAACAAAAAAACCCTCAAACCAAAACCCAGGGCCCAAATCCTATGGCTTAAGACTGGATGCTTCACTGGACCTCTGCTATGTCAGAAAACACGCAATTTCCTAACCCCTTCTCCCCCACAAGTGCATCAGTGCACACTTGAGAAACAACTTAGAATGGTACTGCTTTTGAAGTATATATTCCAGTTAAATAGACATTCCTGC